TGGCGGCAATCCAAAACCTTCCAAAACCCCAGACTAAAAAACAATTAATGTCATTCTTAGGGATGTGCTCCTACTGTCGACAGTTTATTCCCAACTATTCAGTATTGGAAACTCCGCTCGGTGCACTCATACATGGGAAGGGTCTGCGCACATGTGACAAGATCACATGGACCCCAGAAGCTGAAAAATCTTTCTGTGATCTGAAAATTGCCCTACAAAGCCCACCCACACTAGGTCTCCCTGATCCAACCCGCCCATTCACCCAGACTGTGGATGAGCGATGTGGGTGCATGGTGTCGGTACTTTTGCAGTCTCACGGAGGGCCATTGAGACCCACTGCTTATTTCTCAGCAAAACTCGATCCCGTGGCAGCAGGGCTGCCTCGCTGCCTGCGGGCTGTGGCTGCTGCTGAGAAAGCGGTCCTAGCATCCCGTGACCTTGTGGGATACACTGAATTAACCTTGCTTGTGCCTCATGCTGTTTCCCTGATCCTGTTAGAGCAGAAAACCTCCCACCTTTCTGCGGCTCGCTGGCTGAAATACAACACGGTGCTCCTTGAACTTCCCAATGTCACGGTACAGCGATGCACCCAGCTGAACCCCTCCTCACTGCTGCCCACCCCAGAGGAAGGGGAGCCACACTGCTGTATCGCCACAATAGAACAGATATGCACTCCCAGGCCAGACCTGAAAGAGGTGCCTCTGACTAATCCTGATTTGATTCTTTATACAGACGGATCAGCATCACGTGACCACACTGGGAAGAACCGAGTCGGCTATGCTGTGTGCTCTGATTTTGATACTATAGAATCTGGTAGTTTGCCCCACCACCATTCAGCACAAACCGCTGAACTGGTCGCGCCCACCGGGGCTTGTGAGCTGGCAGAGGGCAAAACTGTTAACATATTCTGTGATACGCGCTATGGTTTCTCAGTGGTGCACGACTGGGGGGCACTCTGGAAGCACCGCAATTTCATGAAATCTGATGGTAAACCAATTCTTAATTCCACACAGGTTGAACGTCTGCTGAAAGCTGTCATGTTGCCCTTGGAGATCGCTGTATGCAAATGCCAGGCCCACACTAATGCCATTGATCCCATCTCTGCAGGGAATCGGCGCGCGGACAAAGCCGCAAAGGCAGCGGCATACGCACCCCTACACACACACACACACTACCTCACTCAAGACGTTGATATTTTCTCCTCTTTGTCAGCAATGCAGGCGCTGGCTACTCCGGCAGAGACAGCGATGTGGGAAGGAAATGGGGCCCAACGACGGCATGGTGTGTGGCTGGGACCAGACAGCAAACCGTGCTTACCACGGCATTTCTTCAGACATTTTGCAATTTTAGCACATGGCCGAGACCATGCCTCGAAAGGAGGAATGCGTGATTTAATCACACAAAATTGGTATACAAAGGGGTTTACGGCATTTGCACAAAGATTCTGCCAAACATGCGCTATCTGCCTCGCGCACAACCCAGGTAAGTCTCAAATAATACAACAGGCTGCTCATCCCCCGCCCCTGCGCCCATTTCAACATGTCCAAATGGACTTTGTCGAACTCACACCATGCCAAGGTAAGAAATACTGTCTGGTTCTTGTCGATCTCTGGTCCAAATGGACTGAAGTATTTGCATGTAAACACGCCACGAGCAATGCGGTGGTAAAAGCTCTGCTCACAGAAATTGTACCACGATGGGGTGTCCCTGAAAAAATCTCTAGTGACAATGGCAGCCACTTTGTAGCAAAAGTCATTGAGGAAGTAGGTGAATTTCTGGGCATTGACATACGTAAACATTGCAGTTACGCCCCCTGGAGCGGAGGGGCGTGCGAGCGAGAGAATGGCACTCTGAAAAACAAACTTGCTAAAATCTGCGAACAGACAGACCTGTCTTGGATCAAAGCTCTGCCGCTAGCCCTCATGTACATGCGGATGAGAGTCAGGTCAAGGTCAAACCTAAGCCCATTCGAAATCCTCTTCGCCAGACCACCCAACTTGGGCGTGGGACCCCCGACCAGAGATCTACCAAGCACCTCTTTGTGTGATGACGACATGTTGTCCTACTGTAAGGAAATTAATGCACTTTTGTCCTCTATTTCTGCCCAGGTCAGGAGCGCGCTGCCACAAGCTGCGCAGGCGGCCCTGCACAGGATCAAGCCAGGCGACTGGGTCCTGGTGAAGGAAACGAGACGAAAGCATTGGCGGTCCAAGCGCTGGCTCGGCCCATTCCTCGTCCTCCTGGTGACGGACACTGCCGTCAAGGTCGCGGAGAGGACAACTTGGATCCACGCCAACCACTGTCGTGCGGTGCTGCCACTGAGGGCCATAGACGAGGACACCGAGGGCGCGGACGGACCAGGCCCATCCGCGGCTCCCTACGCTGTAGAGGTCGGCAGGCGTGCGACCACCGTCGGTGAAGCAGGCCAACAACAACACCCAGAGAATCCCAGCGTTGCCGAGGCAACCCCCCTCTGCCCAACTCCCCAGCCCCCGGACCCCAAGGCCACACCCCAAACCCGGAGCACCCTGCCCAACCGAGTGCTGAGGCCGAGGCTTCAACGCAAATAGAGCCTTGCCGCTCCAAGACCAAACATCGCCATGGCCACACTGACACTACTTTCCGTGATGACTGTGTTTATTATGGTAATATTGTCTTCCTCTGAAACTCAAAACCCTGTGATTCAAGCCATGACACGCACTACACGCAGCCTTGCTCCCGACGACACTGCTTGGTTGGAGGCCTTGAGTAAATCCTACAAACATTCTACAGTTTATTCACTCAACCTTTGGTATCAGTATGCAAAATACGTCGCAGATAGCCACAATAGATCCAATTGCTACGTATGCACCCACCTTCCTATAGCCGCCGCTAACCCCCACATAATTCCCTTACCGGTGCCAAATATTTCCAGAATCATCCCTCACACCCTGGTTTCAATGTCCGATCCCAGGGCTCCAGCAATGTTTTTTGCGGTGCCCCCAAAACTCAAGCCCCTTGCCCAGGGAGAGCTGCGTCTCAAATCCGGCAGCCACCCTGGGGAAGAGCCAATCTTCGGCCCAGTGCACATCAAACCTGGCTCCAAATTTATATGCTACACCCACTCCTGGTCTCGGGCCAACACCAGTCTTACTCTCCCGAAAGAGCCCATCCATGTGGGAAATATCCCACTTGAGTTCTGCTCTATTGTATATAGCCCCTGCACATACATGGCCAACAGCAGCAAACTTAACGATTCCCAGGCAGCCCCGGGAAGCATGTGTGTCCCGTACTATACGGTACCAGACATTTTAGGAACGCAGCCCGTAGAGTCTCACATGTATCTGTGCGGATATCGCATGTATGACTGTCTGCCCGCAACATGGGAGGGACGCTGTGCGGCCGCCCTTCCTGCCGACCATTCATACATCATCTCCACACTCCCTAAGGCCCAACACCGAGACAAGAGAGAACTCTACACACCACACGACCCCCTGTGGGGCACTAATGTACCCAATGATCACAAATTATGGACCACAGGCCAGAAAATAATGTTAGCATTATTTCCCAGCCTGGGTGTAGGTAAACTAATGCTAAGGACGGAGACCCTGAGCTATAGGTTCTCAGGTTTTGTCAATACCACAGTGTCCATACTTGAATCACAGAGAGTTGAACTTCACGACCTACGTGCCGTTGTTCTTCAGGACCGGTTGGTCCTGGACCACCTGACCGCGTCTGTGGGAGGCGTATGCACGATCATCGGGTCGTCCTGCTGTACATATATTCCGGCCAATGATGAGGACGGAGGTCTTATCCAACAGGGCATAGCCAATCTGACTAGACTCCGGGACGCCATACAGGCGGACAATGTCACGGACACTCCCCACGGCCTGGACTGGCTCTTGTCCTCCTGGCGAAGTGTGCTCATTAATCTTGGTTTAGCCCTATTGACTGTTATGATTTTATTTTCATGTGTATTACCCATGGTGTTTCGGGCCGTTGGTAAAATGATATCCACTCACTTTGTGTCCATTCAACACAGAGACCCCGAGGCGGACCTGGCCGCGGTCCCACTGAACTCCGATCCTGATTATATCAGCGATTCGGACGACGACTTTGTCTAATGTTTTTCTTTCTTGGTTACTTTGTTTTTATTTTCCCACTTGTTCCGCCCACAATTTAGGGGGAGGGTATCACAGTGAAGAGTTTTGACCACACCCCGTAATACAAGAGGCTTGGGTGACGGCGGGGCAACCTGCCCATCAACAACTCTTCTTTTACTCAGGGGCCAAGGTCAATACTCACCCACTTGAATGTGATCTCTGTAAAACTGGGGTTTTTACATTATCACGGGAAAGGAGTGTGATGGCAATCAATCAGTATTCAGGCAACTTCCTGTAACAGGAAGGAGCAACTCTGCCTGCTCCTATTATTATGCTACTTCCCCAGGAAGGGGCCGGGCCCCCCCGACACCTACAGACAATGGCATAAACCACTGCCTCACTCTCGCCCCCCTTTTGCCTTCTACATATCTATCAGACTCTGTATGTGCATGTTCTACACCCTGCGGTCTATCCCATCCCTGTCTCTTCCGTGTCTTGCATCTATATGAAGTGCCTCTTCTGCTATTGTCTGTCTGTTCACACCCCTGTCTCAGACGGCGCCAAGGCATTTCCATATGCCTCCTCATCTGTGGCCCCCTCCAATCTGTTGTGGGCGGGACTGACTTTCTTGTTGCTCTGTATACACCAGACGGGGAGCTCCGTGCCTCCAGAGCTGGTAATACTGCCTTGGTATCTGTTGCTTGCTCTCCACACGCGTGTGATTCCAATAAACTTACGCTTTTGATAAGACAAGGACCTTTTGAGTTTCCTCCTTCATTTTGGTCTGAAACTGCCTCCACAACACAATACTTGCACAACATTGATATTTACTCAGAGCAGTATAATGACTGTTTAAAACATGCAACAGTTCTAATGATAACATAGTTTGGAGTCTACATTAGCACCACTGTGTTTGCAATGAGCACGGCTCTGCAAGAAGGCAAGGTCAAAGGTGAGTTGAAATCGGAGTCAAAATGTCAGCGTGAAGTGGTCAGCGCGAATGGAAAGGTCGTTTTTAGGTGTGAGAATCCATGTATTGGGATCTAGATCAGAGATAATACCTTTCATTGTAAAACAGTGTACACAAAATATGGCTTATTACAATGTTGAGAAAATATCTACTTGAAAAAATGTTCCAGAGAACCCCAAAACTAACGAATGAGCCGCCGCATTCTCCAGATTACTTTGCACTGAAATCGGCCGCCCTAATGCAACAGTGTTTTAAATGCTCTCGGACAATCACTGGAGAAAAGGATGAGTACAGTTCTTTTAGATAAATGAAAGACGGGAGAGTCCGGTGCCATAAACCAGCCCCAGCCCCAGCCCCCATGTCCCGCGGGCTGCCAGAGCTGCTCCTATATCTGCTTTATGGACCTCCGATAAGAGCCGAGCCAAGCCTAAATCAACTTGACGTGGCATTTGCGCTGAGTTGTAGCTCTAATTTTATACAGAACCAGTGATGAATAGAAAAAAGCACTTAGAGGAAAAGCGCTACAGCTCTTTTTTTAGAGGAAGAAACCAACTTGGATCACAGGATTACATTAAAAAGGCGTGTAGTATGGCATGTTGATAAAATATATATATATACTGGGACAGAGACAAACTACAGCGGTCCAGATGGAAAAGGCTCAGTGATGGATTTTCAACATTTGCACGTACGAAGGGACATGTTTTGGTTTAGTTTGTATAATCTTAGTAATACGACCAGTGTTATTAGGCTTAGAACATGCAACAGATGGCACTTTCAATCAATGAAATATTAATGTATTTCTGTTTGAATTTTATTTATTTTTAATTTCACCTTTACTTAACCAGGAAAGTCCCATTGAGGTTAAGAACCTCTTTTTCAAGGGAGTCCTGGACAAAAGTTACATTACAGATTATAAAAAACAGTCACATACATATTATAAAAAGCATTCAATGAAATAAGTTCAGATAATTTCCATAATAATAATAATTCATTTTATTTCATGCTGCCTTTCAAGACACCCAATATAATAAATAGAGAATAGGCCAGTTTTAAAAAAGGTAACCTAACTTTTTACCCCTATTCTTTGTATTTTAGATTTGAGAATTTCCAGAGAGTCCAACTGTTGCATGTCGAGCGGTAGAATGTTCCGGAGTTTGGGGGCAGGGTGGGTGGGTGCTCCGGCCCCCATCGTGGCCATTTTGACAGTGAGGACCGTGGAGAGAGCACTGAGTGGAGAGAGCGAGAGAAGTTCTTTAAATGCATCGGTTCGACTCGGTGAAAGCTGGGTACTTAATTTATTTTTACGTTTTTTTGTCCCGAGAGAGAATATAAGCACTGTCTTTATCTTATTAGACAACATTTTAAAAAGTATTGTTTAGGACACTCTTACTCAAGTAAACATTTTTTTTATTGTGTCTCCGTCCTGTGTTTGTGTTGGGCCTGAGCCTATTGCTGGGAGAGACCTGTTTATATGATCTCTCTCCATTCTCTCCCACTCCTTCCCCCTATAACCTGTCTCCCCCATCTACTTCGCCTCCACTTCTCGCTCCTCTCCCCCTGACGCCCCTCTCCCTTATCTCTTCCCTCTCCTTCTACTTCGCCCTTCCTTTCCCCCTCCCTTCTCACTCTCCCCTCTTCGTCTCCTCTCCCCCCTCCCTCCAATCTCCACTCCCGTCTCCATTCTCTCTCTCCCCTCTCCGTCCACTCCAGTCTCCCTTCTCTCTCCCTTCTCCTTCCTCTCTCCCATTTTTCCCCCCTCTCCTTCCTCTCTCCCATCTCTCCCCTCTCATTACCCTCTCCCTTCTCCTTCCACTCTCCAAACTCTCTCCCCTCTCCACCAACTCTTCACTCCCGTCTCCATTCTCTCTCTCCCCTCTCCGTCCACTCCAGTCTCCCTTCTCTCTGCCCTCTCCCAACTCTCTCCCTTCTCTTTCCCCTCTCCCCTGTCTCTCCCCTCCCCTTCTCCTCTCCCCTCTCCCTCTCCCCTCTCCTTCCTCTCTCCCCTCTCCTTCCCCTCTGCCCTCTCTTTCCTCCCCCCCTCTCCTCCCTCTCCTACCTCCCTCCTCTCTCCTCTCCTTCCTCTCTCCCCTCTCTCCTTCCTCTCTCCTCCCTCTCTCCCCCCTCTACCCTCTCCTTCCCCTCTCCCCTCTCTCCTCCCTCTCCTTCCCCTCTCCTCTCCCCTCTCTCCTCCCTCTCCCCTCTCCTTCCCCTCTCCCCTCTCTCCTCCCTCTCCTTCCTCTCTCCCCTCTCTCCTCCCTCTCCCCTCTCCTTCCTCTCTCCCCTCTCCTTCCTCTCTCCTCCCTCTCCCCTCTCCTTCCCCTCTCCCCTCTCTCCTCCCTCTCCTTCCCCTCTCCTCCCTCTCCCTCTCTCCTTCCCCTCTCCCTCTCTCCTCCCTCTCCCCTCTCCTTCCTCTCTCCCCTCTCTCCTCCCTCTCCCCTCTCCTCTCTCTCCTCCCTCTCCTTCCCCTCTCCCCTCTCCTCCTCCCTCTCCCCTCTCCTTCCTCTCTCCCCTCTCTCCTCCCTCTCCCTCTCCCCTCTCTCCTCCCTCTCCTTCCTCTCTCCCCTCTCTCTCCTCCCTCTCCCCTCTCCTTCCTCTCTCCCTCTCTCCTCCCTCTCCCCTCTCCCCTCTCTCCTCCTCTCCTTCCCCTCTCCCCTCTCTCCTCCCTCTCCCCTCTCCTTCCTCTCTCCCCTCTCTCCTCCCTCTCCCCTCTCCCCTCTCTCCTCCCTCTCCTTCCTCTCTCCCCTCTCTCCTCCCTCTCCCCTCTCCTTCCTCTCTCCCCTCTCTCCTCCCTCTCCTTCCTCTCTCCCCTCTCCTTCCTCTCTCCTTCCCCTCTCCCCTCTCTCCCCCCTCTCCTTCTGTCTCATGCCTCAGTGTGGACTGAAGGCTCCTGATCTCTGTCTGCAGAATGTTTATTTGCTTTCTCCTGTTATCCGTCAGAGGTTTACAGCTGCTCAGTGTAGACACAGTGCATGTGGCCTGTTCCAGAGCTCAGCCAAATGGATTAAATTAGACTTTGGTGGGGATTTAGGAAAAAAAGCACACTGCCATAAACTGCGACAAAGATGGCACACTTTCTATTGGGCTTAGTGTAAAGTTTACAGATATGATGAAATAAGATCAGATAAAAAAATAACCTTTATGAGAAATGTCAGCGTCATCGTAGCGCACATTACACGACATAGATGTAAGAGACCTCAGGGAAAAGCCCACGTCAAAAAGATACAAGATAATAGTCCATTTATTCAAGAAAACATTATAAACACATCATACACTCTGATCTTTCTAACACAATCTGAGACAAGCCGTAGGATTTTAGCTATAATTACACTTGGGAGACTGTATCCTGCGTGCCACATTATCTATAGTCCTGTATAGATATTTATACACAATATCTGTACAGGACACTTTTGATTCAAGGATGTATGATTCAATACAATTCAGAAACAATGGCTTTAGATCAGTAATGCTCAAGCCCATTTTAAAGCTGATGTCAATAACTCACATTCTCACAAGACGATCATCAGATCCATTACTACTCACTTCCGTCAATAGACGCAGCGTGAGCGGGAGAGAAGTCTTTAGGAGTTAGTGCGCGGACATAGTGCTCCTCGTATTATTACGCCTCACAATGTAGTACCTCTGTTTATCCGCTGAGAAAATCGACATTTCTGTGTTACTATACTTTGTAGAGTAACACGTCACGTAACTGTATTTAAACAGGGAACACGTGGAAGAGTTTGGTAGCTTCTAACAGGAGCTGATTTGGTACTATACAGTCTGTGGAAGAGGCTGTGTTTGTGCTGCGTTTGCATGACAGAGTGCACGGACAAAGATCACACAGGTGCATATCAACTAGTCTAAGGTAAGAACATGTGTCAGTATGTAAACACGGAGGCCTATTCCTTTAAGGCTGCAGTACAAAAGTTTCAAATTAATAGAAAAATGTAAACAAATTCAACAAACACGTTCTTCACTCTCAAATCAGTTTGGTTCCATCGCTAGTTTTCACTTGCATGAAGTTTTCAGTCTCTGTCACATTTTTAGATCACCTTTTTTAGACAGAAACATGAAAAAGAGTGGACCACCCTCACTCATCCAAGACCATCCCCAAAACAGCCGTATGAAGGCCCCTCTCTTTGGGGGTGGCTGGATCTCCCCCAGTGTGTGACTCATGCGGTCACACACTCCCAACACAATAGCAGGACGTCCCGACAGGCTGTAAAGGTGGACTCAGACCTGTACAGTTAATAACTAGTGATGCTACAGTGTTTTAGAGTCACTATAATTATAATGATTGTCAAATGTTTCAGAGTCAGATATTTAGGTAAATTAAAACAAGCATTGAAACTATAAACTCATTTGAGAATGTAATGAGAGTGAAAATAAAGATCATATTCTCTGAGAAGTTTTAGAACAAGGAAACAAAACCTCATGGTATTAGCCTATTGTCTAAATAGTACACAGTTTAAAATCATCACTGAGGAATCCATATTGGTATTGAGCATCATAGTTTAGAAAATAGTTTGAAGTCTTAGTATGGTGACAACACTCTTTACAATGACTGGCACTTGGGCACAGTTGAGCAGTGTTTAGTACTCGTACTTCACAGCAAGAAGGTCCTGGGCTCCAGGCGGGGCCTTTCTGTGTGGTTTTCTCTACCTCTACAAAAATGTACAATAGCTCAGGAGAAATGAGTGTGTGTTTATTTTAGAATGTATTTAATTTATTGTTTATTTGGGTGGGACAGTGTGAGCCTTAATGAACACACTTTTCTGAATGTTAACCTACACAGACACATGGAGAACAAGCAAACTCCACACAGAAAGGGAGGTGGACTCAAACTCAGGACCTTCTTGAGGTAACTGCTGTGCTCCATGCCACTCCGCGGTCCTTATGGTTCCTTCTGCTACAAGGGGTTCCCAAACTTTTCAGACAAGGACCCACAAAAGAGGCAGACTTTTACCCCCACTTGATAACAACATAATTTGTCATCATAACATGTTCCTATAAAAATATTGTATTAATAAAATAAGTGACTAAATAGTATAATAGTATAGTATATTGTGACTCTCAGTTGAACTCCTGTGACCCCCTACTGGACAAAGGCAAAGCATTGTGGGACTAACGTTGTGCATGACAAATGAATGTGGTATCAAATACAAAGATTCAAATAGATTCAATGAACATTTGTTTTCCTTCAAAAATTAAATATTGAGCATATTTGTATACATAGATACCCACGATTATCAATAGACTTCATAATGTGGTAACTGTGACGTCATAACAATGCTGTGAGAATTGTCATTGCTTTGGGGGGGGGGGGGGGGTGGGGGGGTGGTCAACAGGTTGTCAGTGTATATTGGCTAAAAACAGATCCGATTAGTCGTTAAACACGTATTCTCCGAGATCAAAAAGTCTAGTGCAATGGGTCCAAGTGAGGACTCTCCCTAATCCTGCAGGCTTTGGATTGACACAAAGAGTACATTGGATTATGACCCCCCGCGGTTGGATGACGTAATGCAAACAACAATACCAGAAAACTGTCATTACCACAACTCGAAACGCAGTATTTACGCGCAATTATAAACGTGTACATGGCTTCGTGATCCTCAAAGGGCTATCCAAATACACCCTAATCCTCCAATCAACTGTGCGTAAAACAATCCTCCAAAGATAACCACAACAAACGCGCATCGTGCTGTACCCGCGCGGTTTCCATTCGCAGTTAAACTTTTGAACAAAGGCAAGCGACTGGGGAAGAAAGTAAAACTCGGGGATTGGGTGTGCGTTGTGTTGTGGTTGAGACAGGAGGGGATTTCTGTCTGCATGAACCCCTACACCCCCAGCTCTCCCCCCTCCTCTCTCACTTTTCTCTTGCCGCTAGTTGGAACTTTACGCACGGCTAAATGTAGGTTAAAGCTGAATTAGCGCAGAGAATAACAATTAAAGTTCAACCTTTCCCCTCTCCAACCACAACCTCTATTGTTTTCACTTTTCTTTATCCTAAGCAGCAGCCCACACGACCCCCGCGCTCGCTGTCCCATGTAATTTTTGTTTAGCCTCCCCCACTGGACTGCACTCCATCACCAAAAAAAAAAAAAAACCTCAATAACAGAGCACATGATGGCAAAGCGGATTCTTACCATTTTACTTTTCCAGGCGAATTTCATTGTAAGCGTTTCTCTCATGGTCCGGGGGCAGCATCAGAAGTCGTGCGTAAAGATATCCAGGCGCGTTTCCAAAGAGAGCCAGAAATCCAGAAAGTGAGATTTTGTCCTTGTGTGTAGTTCAAAGCTGGTCTCCGCAAACTCCAGCGTCTGTCAGTAGCAGTGGGCTGCCACTCTTGTCTTCAATGAGCAGACTCCTCCCACTTCCACTCCACAACAGCGCGCAGGCTCCTCCCCCTGTCTGTGGGGACGCGACTTTCAGCAAGGCGCTCAGCACATGCCCCCAATGACCATACAAGCTGTTCCTCCAGCTTCTGCATAACTGTGTGCATCAGTAAAAACTTTTTGAGAATGAAAAAGTCATCTAGCTTTAGTTAAGTGAATGTTTGGAAAATAATAAAAAATGAAATTGCAATGTTTTATCAGACACACGTTTCATGGCGCATGTCCAAGCACATTCTGAAATTCGTACATCCAAACTTTTTAAAAAAAAAATTTCCCCAATTGATGTTTGCGCTTGAATTTTAATCATTTCATGTATAATTTCAGTTTGGTCTATGTTTTTGTTACTTCTACATTTAAAACACTGTTATATTCACAACACTAAACAGCAGTGTAGTTGCCTGACCGTACAGTTTCAAGAGATTTTTGGTTATATATTGTATAAATGTATAATCATGTTTATTTTTGTAATCATTTAAATCACAGTTGTCCAAACGAAATCTAGTGTTATCGCAAAGCTTATATTAATTGTGCATACATACAATACATTATGTGAATCCAAATGAATTCTTTAAAATGTAAGCATTGGAAAGTGTAAACAAATACTTTAAATTTATCAAAAAGTAGACAATATATCACTAAGAGATTAGAATGGAAACCAGGCAACATTATTGTCATTGTGGTGTGTAATAATTGTAATTGCAAAGTAGTAGTATAGTCTTAGAGGTAGTAGAAGTAGAAGTAAAAGTAGTAGTAGTAGTAGCAGCAGTTGTTCTGTAACTGGTGGGTGTTTTCTTGTGTTAATTCTTGGTGAAAAGTGGTTTAAATTGGCGTTGTTAGAAGTTTATAATAAGTTTGTACAACACCAGATAATTTAAAAGTTTAAAAATACCCTTCACATACAGGCCACATAAGAAGGCCAGCTTCACATCCGAGTATGTAAAGTGTGGGCTGTCTTCACATTTGGGCGCTGCAGCTGTGCCCTGTGTGCTCGGAGTGGGACAATACGCGGAAGGCCGTGGATGCCGTCACTGCTCTGTGCTTTGTGAGGCCCCAGGAGCGACAGAGGACCACACTCACTACACGTACTCAAAATGCCCACTCGGAGGAAAAGGTCTAAGGTCTGTATAGTGTAGGAGAGAGGACCACACTTTGAGAACACTAACTGAAACTATCCAGTTGGAGGCAAGATCTGTGTGAACGGTTTGAGTCCCTGTGATCAGTGTGGTCCACTCACACTGATCACAGGGACTCAAACTGTCCAGCCAGAAAAAAGTTCCACATGTTTGAAATCGAGGCACACCGCTCAGCAAGTCACCTGATGAAGGTGTCAGGACCGAAACGTCACATTTATCCAATAAAACGTAGATACATTCAGTTTCTGTTTTTTCTTTTATCCTTTGCACATGCTAAAACTGGTGAATATAATTGAAAAAAAATGCTAATGGCTGCAAGCAAACAGTCTGTTGTCATGGTAACTAGCACTTGCTCCAAGCTGAGAT